AAATTTCATGAACACTATTACCCATTCCACCATATATCATCCTCCAGTTCTCCCATTTTACCCACCTTTCCTTCTGACCTCTCGAACATATTTTTCCCTTCTACTACTGATTCATCTCCCACTGATTCTACTCTTTCTTCACCCACTCCATCTTCAACCACTCCTATAATTTCTACTCTTTCACCTGATCCCACTTTTCCAATTTCTATTCTTCCTTCCTCTTCCAGGGTCTCTAAAAGAAACGGTAGACCACCTTCAAATCTCACCCAATATGATTGTCCCACCCTAAATACCAAGCCTCAATATACTTCTTGTCACACTCATTGGTGTCATGTTGTTCACTTAGACACCATTCCTGTTGCCCATAAAGCATTTCTCACCCACCTTTTTTCCTACACCAAACCTACATCCTTTTCTGAAGCTTCCACGGATCCATGTTGGGTTATTGCTATGAACAAAGAAATAGAAGCATTACAAGCTAATGCAACCTTAATCTTTCTGGCCGCAAGGCTATATCCAACAAGTGGATTTACCAAGTTAAACTCAAGGCTGATGGAAGCAGAAAGGTTCAAATTCAGACGTGTTATACAAGATAATCATCAGAAATATGGGATAGATTTCACTGGAACTTTCTCTCCCGTTGCTAATATGTCTGCTCTTAGATGTCTTATTGCTCTAGCTGCCTCCCAAATCTGGAACCTTTTTCAGTTAGATGTCAACAATGCTTTCTTGCATGGTGACTTGACAGAAGAGGTTTACATGAAAGTTCCTATGGGTTTTCCTAACCCCAACAATCAGGTGTATTGCCTCAAAAAGTCCCTGTATGGCATACGGCAAGCTAGTAGACAATGGTTCTCTAAGTTGAGCACGGCCTTTCACAGCCAAGGATATACTCAGTCCAAATGTGGCTCCAGCTTATTCCTTAAATACGATCATAATCATATCACTATTGCTGCTGTCTATGTAGATGATATTTTAGTCACTGGTTCAGACCCTTCAGCTATTGCTCTCTCAAGAAGTTCCTTGATGATGCTTTCACCATCAAAGAGTTAGGTCTTGCTCATTACTTTGTTTTTAACTGACTTACACCCCTGATGGCATTGTTTTCTCCAAAGGAGATTCGCCCAAAGATTACTTGCTGACCATCAATGTCTTCATATCTAACCAGTGAAACCCTCTCTTCCTCAGCACACCAAATATCAGCACAGTTCCTCTTTTCCTTCTACTGATTCCAAGCTATATAGGAGTCTGATTGGAAAGTTAAATTTTCTCACTCATACTCGTTCGGACATTGCATAATCTGTTCAAATTTGAAGTCAATTCATGCAGTCTCTAGATGAATCCCATATGCAATGTGCCATTCATGTTCTTCACAACTTAACTGGGACTATCAATTTAGGCATTTTGATGAAAGGGTCTGATCAACTATCTCAATGCCTTTTCTGACTTAGATTGGGCAGCATGTCCCTTTTCCAGGAGAAGTGTCACAAGTTACATTGTTCTCTTTGGTGCTTCTCCTATCACCTGGAAATCTAAGAAGTAAAGTACTGTTTCCAAATCATCTTCAGAGGCTGAATAAAGAGCCATGCATGTCCCTGGTGGTTTCTGAAGTAACATGGTTAGTTCACCTAATGGGGGAATTTTGTGTGCACAACCTCGAAATCCAGATTTTCATGAGAGGACCAACATATAGAGACCGATTGCCATTTCACCAGGGAAAAGGTTCTAGAAGGGCAAACCAGCTTGCTGATGCTCTTACCAAGATCATTCCATCTGATCAGTTTCATCTCGTTTGTTGTCCAAGCTGGGGATGGTTTCACCACCACCCAGCTTGCGGGGGGGGGGGGGTGGTGGTGGTTGTGAAGGATACTCATTAACTGCCAGCTGGATGCTTTGCTTATTGTGGACAGCTGGATTTGAGGATTTGTGTTATGTTTACTCCCCTTCTATCAGTTTGTATGTGTGTTTATATATAGCTTGTGCATCATTGTTTCATATCAGATTTTCAGAGAGATGAGATAATTTCTTCGTGATAGTGAATAAAAGCAGAGATGAATTTGTTCTTATCTCTCTTCGATTCAAAGATTTCACATGAACTATAAGATGGGATTTTATGATGCTTATGTTACTACAACAATTTGTTACTGGCTTACTGCATTTCCCAGTCTCATCGCTGGTTATTGATTATACCCATGGTAAAAAATATGTTAACTTCTTACTCTGCAGATTATCCGATATTCGTTCTTCGGAACAAAGGAGACATTTGGATCTGCACCTTCATGGCTCTTGTGGCTTAGGTATATACACATTATATCACAATAAATATACAGCAGCAAGACAATGCATTTTCCATTTTCTTTCCACCCTTATCATCTATCCAATGCAGGTATAGCACCTTCATCTTGCTGTATCCAAGTGGCATCACAAGCGAAGTTGGTTTAATATACAAATCACTTCTTTACATCAAGGTAAAGTCAAAATGACTGTGTTTTGGGTCAAACTTGTTTTCGGTTTACCGGGCAGGGCATTTAGGGGATTTTAGAACAGTGTTCCGTATTATGCAATGAAGTTCACATATGTTTTATTGATCATGGCAATATTATTTGCAGGAATCTGGAAAGTATTCACTATGGATGCCAAACAGATTGAACTTTTCTTTTGACTACTACTACCTGGCACTTGTTGTCATTGCCATCTATGTTCCAGGCAAGGGCTTTGTAGTCATTTTAATTGCTGTCTATGAAGTTTTATATGCTGCTTTGATCTTCACCTAGAATTACTCCATTTCATTGCAGGTAGCCCTCACATGTACAACTACATGCTTGGGCAAAGGAAGAAGGCACTCGGTAGAACAAAACAGGCTTAGATTGTGTACTTATGATTGTATGGATTTTCATTTCACTTATTGTTGAACTATACTAAAACATATTCATCTATCCCAATTTCTTATGTTTGTTTTCTTTCTTTTTTATGCCTTAATTTATTGTGCATGCGTTCATATTGTTGCTCTCTCTCTCTCTCTCATGCTAAATATTGTTTCATTTTTTATGCCTCTAATTCTAAATAATACTCTCTGTCCATAAATTTTCTTTTTATTTAGAATGTTAAAGGATATTTTAATGTTAATTTTCTAAATTATCTTGATGTGATGAGAGTAAAAGTAAGATATGATTTGTAAATTATTAATAAGAGTGCTTCTTTGGTACATCTTGGGTGCATATAATTTTTGTGGATTCATAATCAACTTTCTTGTCACATTCATTAATGTTGCAAGAATTTTCTTTATCACATTACATCTAATTTCAAACTATTTATTTCATACTGTTACATGAATCAATATGTGCATACCTCTAATGTGGTGAACTAAATACAAAGGAGAGAAACTTTTAGATGGAGGGAGTGCCCGTGATGGCTACCGTGATGGCCATGTTGAATGCAAAGATATGGCCATCATAACCATCACGCCTCTTCCTTTTTTTGCAATTTATCTCTTTCATTCAGACTTATTCTTTTTTCTGTTGTTTTAGGCATTTCATTTTTTTCTTTTTGTCCACTTTTTTATTTTTATTGGTTTTCAATTTTAGTTTTTTTTGTTAATTAAATATTAAAAAATTAAGCAAAGTAAAATCAAGGAATTTTTTTATTTAATTATGTACTTTCATTTTTTCTTTTGCCATTGCAATTTTAAATTTAATACGAATGAGAATTTTATTTTATATTTTAAGTTTAAATAGTTTAAGTTAAAATATAAACAAAAAAAGGGATGAATGTGATGGGCATGATTCACACCCTTGGACAGTGATATGAAAGAAAAAGTTGATGTGATGCTGAGTACTTGGAAGAGATAATGTGATGGGCGTGATCAACACCTAATATCTTATGTTTTCGTAATACTCAACTAAATTTTTCTCTAATATAATGCTCTCTTTGTTCAAGAATTTTCTTTACTGCAGAATGAAAAGACTATTGGCTTTCCACATTTACTCGAATAGATTGACCCTGTTCTCGTAGGTGCACTAACTTTATATCTCTTACACGCAATCAAGGACGCAATGGGAAAGAAACAACCCTAGCCTTTAATCGGTTGATCATTTTGCTGGAATCTCGCATTCACTCTTGTTTGACTCCCGCTCAGAGTTTTGTAGTTGTAGATAGGTTAGTCTTAGTGGGTTGTTGGCTCCACTTGTTATCTCCTTCTACGACATGCTGTCGTCGTCGGCATATTCTATATGTCACTTACTCATCTCTGCCTCGCTCCGGGTCAGCACCTGCGAAATAAACGAAGGACTTCACTCAGTGCCGGTGTGCCACCCCGCGATCGCCCTTTGAACTATCTGAATAAGGTAAAGGTTGAGGATAAGTTATAATTTTATACATTGTTAAATTCTCAATTCTTCTAATCGGTGTTGATTTTTCAATCAAATTTCCTTCAAACCGTACATGTGGGTCTCCCCACATGCGTCTCACGTCATTCAATGCATTTATTCACAAATCCTACAATGAAATTGAGATTGCTTCAGGATTTGCAATTGAACTTGACAAATCATGTAGTCTTTTGCGGGACAATCGCTCGTTTATCAACTTGAAACTATGTGAAACTGAATATAGTGAAACAAATAAGCTAAACTTAGTTAGACAGCGAAAGAGGTACAAAGTGACTCGAAAATTCGTTCCAAGAAATGAAGGATTTGATATTTAACTCAAGAAATAAGAACACAATTTATGAATTTAGAAAACAAAATTCTTGAAGAGTACCTTAAAAAACAGGTGGTTCGACTTTCTAAAAGCTAATACGTAAAATAATGATTAGCCGTAACGAAGTAGTGATTTTTTTAGGGATTAGGAAACTCCGTCTTTTTTTTCTTTAGAAAATCCAATTACGAATGTTAAACCGAACCCTTAAGTTTAGTTATTTAATTAAATGAATTCCTGCATGGATTAGGAATGTCCTAAACCCTTTTAAACCTATAAATACACCGTTCCATTCAGTCATTCATTAACTCATCTGTCAATTAAGCCATCATAACAAGATTCCCAAAACATGAAAGAAATAGCTCCAGAAACGCCGCCGCCCTCCGGCAACACCACGGCGGACGACGGCTCGTCGAGCTACGTAACTGCCGAAGGAATCCACTTAAATTTACCTCGCGCGGCGGGGGACTGTTCTCCGGCACCCCACTGCGGCCGTTTCCCCGTCAGAATCACAGTTCGCGTAATCCACCCCTCCCCCCCCCGATACTAATCCTCTCTCGTTTCTTCAAAGCGTTCTAGGGTACAAAACGGCCTACGAGTTTCGGCTGAGCCGCGCTGGCGGCGGCGATTCCTCCGACTGGTCGGTCGACCTCATGGACGTCACTTATAGCCTCCGCGGAGTCGAAATCGTTAACTGGTTGGTCGACCACATGAACTTACCTTTCAGCCTCAGCGGAGTGAAACTTCTTTGGAAGGGCTTTTCCACGGCGAATAAGGACGAGTATCTCGTACCCGTCCTTAACTGCGTTTCCGGACCCAGTAAAGAAGGGTGTAATAAGTTATCCGTCGCTGACGGGAAAACCGTTTCCAAAACTAGCGACGGGTGTGAGATGCCCGTCGCTGACTGGGACAGCATGACTGTCCTCATCCACGAGTTTCTCCAGAATGTGACGGCCGGAGAAAATCGGGGATCCACGATTAGTGATTTGAGGATTACGAAGTACGCGATTTTGGGGGAGGACGAGAGAAAAGCTATTATTAAGAGGAGGAATCGGGACGAGGTTGGAGGGAACTGGAAGGAATTGGTGTTCGGGCTGCCGCAGAGGGTGATGGAGCTCCGGATGAAGGCGGTGGTCGAGAAGGCTATAGAGAGGGTGGCGATGGAAGACTGCGGCGGCGGCGGCGGTGGCGAGGCCGTGACGTGCGGAGTTTGTCTGGGGGATCTGTGGGATGGTTCGGTGGTGGCGGGGTTGTCCGGTTGCTTGCACCGCTTCCATGAGCGTTGCATAGTGGAGTGGTTGGTGCGTAATATGTCTTGCCCGTATTGCCGCTCCCCTATTCCGATCTCCGCCGCCGTGCAAAACAATGGATGACTTTGGAATTTTAGTTTCCCTTTTGTTTTCCTGGTTTGTAACACGATTTTGAATGTCTTTTTTTGTGCGTGTTTGACATGTGTTTGAATCGGATGATTCATCCCTCATGGAGATTATTGTTTCAGAAAAAATTGTACTTCCTCCGTCCCAAAAGAAATTGAACGATTTGACTTTTTGGGAAATTAAAGGAGAGATATTTTGGTATTGACTTTCCAAAAATACCCTTGATGTGATGGATAAAAGTAGGATGTGATGGGTAGATTATTAGAAAAAAGTTATGATGTGATAGGTAGGGTATGAAAAAGTAAGGGGTAAAAGTGATTTTTTAATAGAAATGTAACGGACTTTACGGGACGCAGTTTTTTCAAAACGTAACAAACTTTTTGGGACGGAGGGAGTACGTGCTCTATTGGTCAACATGTAAAATTACCTTTCCTTAAGTTGGACATAAGGAAAGGTATCTCCCCCAGATGTCTCATTAAGTTGGACATAAGGAAAGCCTATGACACAGTGAGCTGGAAGGCAGTGCTGCAAATCATGGAGTTGCTGAAATTTCCTAGCCTATATATCAACTGGGTTAAGCAATGCATAACTACACCGTCTTTCTCTATTCAAGTGAATGGAGAAAGCTATGGATATTTTAAAGGAAGGAAGGGACTTAGACAAGGGGACCCCATATCCCCTATGTTGTTTGTCATTGTCATGGAGTACTTAAACAGACTACTTCAACAAATGACAAAGGATAAAAATTTTAAGTTTTATCCTATGTGCAGATCCTTAAAAATTGCTAATCTGAGTTTTGCAGATGACTTGATTATTGTATGTAAAGCTGAGGAGGGGTCCTTGAAGTGCATTATGGAGGTACTGAGGATTTTCCAAAATACTACTGGCTTGGGCATCAACAACACCAAATCGCAAATCATATTTGGTGGAGTGGATAAGAAGAAGCAAGAGTATTTTATGAAGCTGACCAAGCTACCCCTTGGAGAGCTCCCTCTCAAATATTTAGGGAGTCCTATATCTGCAGCAAGGCTGAGCGAGAAGGAATGTGACAGGTTAATGGCAAGCCTAACCTCAAAGGTAACTACTTGGGCATCCAAACATCTGTCCTATGCTGGTAGAAGTAAATTGATAAATAGTGTGCTCTTTGGAATCATGACCTTCTGGTGTCAGTTACTCTCTCCGTCCCCCAGTATTTGTCCACTTTCATTTTTACACAACATCCAATGCACTTCTTTAATCCATTTTATCTTGTAATTTGTACATTAAAAAATTATAGAAATTATATATTAATAATATATATGTTAAGACAAATCAAACAAGATCACGCATGACTATATTTAGGCTTACACATTGAGACAATTTGATGAGTCAAACTGCTTAGATGAACAGTTCCAAAAGTCAAAAGTGGACAAAAACTGGGGGACGGAGGGAGTATTTATTATCCCTTCTAAGGTGATGAGGAAAGTCCAAAGCATTTGTAGGAGCTTCCTATGGGGGGGGGCTCAGCTAGCTATTCAAAACATCCTCTAGTCAGTTGGGAGGATGTTTGCCTACCAAAAATATATGGGGGATTGGGGCTAAGGAATATGGTCCTATGGAACAGAGCTTTCATCCACAACTATTGGTGGGATGTTACTAAAGATAAAAATAATTTATGGGTAAAATGGATTCATGAGAGGTATGTTAAGAGGGATGCTGTTATTACTAAAGATTAAAGGAGAGAACTGCTATTACTGGAAGAAAATTGTTCAGAATAGGAAGTGGTTTGCGCAAAGGCCAGGAAATAAGGAATATTCAACTGAAGAGGGTTATAAGTGGCTTCTGGGACAGAGGAGGAAGGAGGCTTGGATTTCATTTGCTTGGAACAAAATGTCATGCCCTAAATATCAGTTTTTCTCCTGGCTTATATGTAAAGGAAGAGTAAACACAAAAGATAGGTTGGGGAAATATATTCCCATTGACAAGATCTGTGGACTATGCAATGAAATGGATGAAGATGCTGACCATTTGTTCTGTACCTGTACTTTTTCTAGTACCCTAATTAAGAGGCTAACTGTCTGGGTGGGAATAAAGATGGAAGGAAACAATGTTCAAGAGGTTAGGGATGCACTGATGAGTATAAGAGGAAGAGGAAGAAGAGATCGAGGCATAAGTACCTATGCAGCAGCGTGCTACCATATATGGAAAACAAGGAACTGCTTTTTCCATAGGAAAGAGAAACCTGATGTAGAGATGTGTTTTAACCATATAACAAGCCAGTTGACTACTTTCTCGGGAAGGAAATCAAGGAGTAAGTAGGTGTTGATGTTTGTCAATTGTATGTTGTTTTTGTGTTAAAGTGGGGTCTTTGTATTGTTTTGGGAGATGAATGAAGATGTGCATTTCGTTTCAAAAAAAGAAATAAAAATTACAAATTACGCATTTCAAAAATATTTCAAAAGTTTTACAAAACAAAATATGATTAGAATATTTAATTTTATGAAATAATCAATTAAAATATATAGAGTACAAACAAACAAAAATTATGTATGATCCTAATAGTAAATGTGACAGATGTTGCGAGGCAAAGAGAGTACCTTCCTCCCACATTGAATTTTGATGTTTAATTTTTTTTAAATGGATATTTTTATTTTAAATGGATATTTTTATTTAAGAATTTTTTTTGGATAGCCCAAAAAAGTGGGTGCGGGTATAATGGCACATTCATTTAAAAAAATTTTAAAATAGAAAATGAGAAAGAAATTTTTGGATAGCCCAAAAAAGAAAGTGAGAAAGTAATTAATGGACGGAGGGAGTATATTGTATATTAGTTAGATAAAATTATATTTTAAAAATATTTGATATAATAAATCTAATAAAACTACTTTTGTATCAATATCTAATATCATTTTACTTTAATTTGGGGTCATAGTTTTCCAATTTTAACTAAAAAAGTAAAAAATGGACAAATACTAAAAAACAGTGGGAGTACCATCATTGGCACTTTACAATGTAAGAACTTGACATTTTATATTGATTTATGTCATTAAATATGTTTATGCATGCCTAAATCTAAAGAGCTTACTTATCAATTGATCCTAAATTCACTTAAGTTTTAATTTACTCCCTCCGTCCCTAAATAGATTACAATTTTTTTCTCTCTTCTTTCGATAACTTTTGTTTGTTTACGCGATTTCATTAAGTATTTGATAAAATAAAATATTTTTGTCACCTCTTGTTTTGTAGAACTTTTGACGTAGTTTTTTAATATGTAATTTTTATATCTTATTGATATACTAATTTGTAAATAAAATGATTTCAAAAAATAAAAAATTTTACTACGTAACCCGCAATTTGTAATCAAATTGGGGACGGAGGGAGTAAATTTATATTGCATAATGATTAATGGGAGTCTTTATCTATGGGATCGCCATGGCCCATGAGGGGTGACACGGACTGACGGGTGCGAGGGAATACTATTCTAAAAGTGAAAAATGCTAGGGTACACCAAATCATGTACTCCATTTGTCCCCCACCCCCTTCTTGTCCACATAATTGGGCCAGAAAATTAAAAATTAATATAAATAAATAAAAATCAAACACAACAAGAAAAAGGACTTTTAGTTACGAACCAATTATGACGGGTTAAAGATACTCTCATTAAACGTGTTAGTTATACATTTTTTATGACGGGAAAAAATCCATAGTTATAATGTGTTATTTTTAGTGACCAATTTTGTAACCATTTCTTTTTTTAATATTTAATACTCTCACCATAGCTAAATTGAACTACAATAATCTCACAATAAATTTTTAATATATGTTCTAGTCAGGCCAAACTAAAATATATTCCAAAATGAAGTATTCATTACTCATTAGGTTAAAAAATTCAGCAACAAATTACGGAGGATGAATTTTTACAGAGTATTTTCCGGAAAGTCTTCTTCTAGCGAAGACAAAATCACTAGTTTCACATACATGACCTTACCTTGCAGATTTCGTCATTTTGATACCCGCCGACCTTGCAGATTCCGGCATACACCAGATCTAACCGCCACCCCATCCGATGACCCGTGCTGAGGGATACAACCTCTTTCCAGTGCTTCGTCCGCCATTATTTCTGCTGGTTTTTTGGTTACCCTCGATTCAATTCCAGTGCTCAGGATACAATCCCTGATGGGGTATAACCCACGTCAGCATAAATTTCTAAAGTATCGGGCTTGGACGTCTCTGCTCGGCCATCTTTGCTTGGCACCTGAGCTCCGCTCATCCCTCCTGCTCGGCTTGGCCAACCGAGCCAAGCCCGAACCCCGCGACAACGACGTGAAGAAAACGACGTGCGACAAAGACTTGATGAAAGCGATATGATGAAAGGGACAAGACCAAGGGACAAGTGATGTCCGCTAAACGACGAGCTTCGATCAGAGGGCTTTGACTTAATGTATTGCACCCCCTATAAAAGGGGTGACACCCCTCATTGTAATGGATCCGAATTCTAAGTCAATATACTCCTACTTTGCATTCTCTCTCTCTCTAAAACTTATATTATTTAATATATTCGGTGGTTTATAACCATCAACCCCTATCAGCTTGTATTCCCAAATCAGGTTTATAACTTTTAATTAATTTCCAGTATCATGAGTTTGCATAATTAGTTGTCTCACGAAGGTTTGAGCAGCCAATCAGCTTCTTGATTCATTAATCTATAATATGTGACTTTGTTTCATTTCTGAATCAGTTTTGTTTTTAATGTTTGGGTAAATTTGTTTATCAATTTGGTTTGAAGTTTGACTCTTTGGCACAAATAATAGCATTCCCGAGTGTTGGGATTTTAAGCGCGTAAGGTACCGAAAAATATTGAGAACACCAGAAAAATGAGAGAACAAAAACAAGAAGAATATATGAGAGAAAAAATTATATTTCCATTATTTTAGGACAATATACAAAAAACTCTCCCCTGTTTACAAGACTAAATTCCAGACACTCAAAAACAGATCTTTCCACATCCTATGCTGTTGATTTGTGTTTGATCACGAAAAGAAGAAGATGAATGCAAGAAGCTAGAAGAAAGATGAAAACATTGATTATGGCTATGTGATTATAGCAGCAGTTCTGGGAAGAAGAACAGTGCCTATTTATACAGAGAAGAAGCTACGGGAAAGCTACAGAGAAAGAAAATAACAAATTGTAACAAAAGTTCTAACAAACACAACTGACTAACAGATTATTAACTAACTGAGTAACAAAGTGTAACAAAATAAACAAGTTGAATCCAACACCCCCCCTCAAGTTGGAGGTGGATGAACCCCCAACTTGGAAAGATGCTTGTGATGTAGCACTCCAGGAAGACTTTGAGTGAAAAGATCAGCAAGCTGCGCAGAAGTGGGAATATGAGTCAGTGTAATAAGGCCTTCTTGAATTTTTTCTCGAACAAAGTGACAATCCAATTCAATGTGTTTGGTTCTCTCATGATAAACAGGATTGGAGGCAATGTAAATTGCAGCTTTATTGTCACATCGAACTGGAATGGGAGTGATATTAGGAACCTGAAACTCTTCAAACAAACGAGATAGCCAAGCCAACTCAGCAGTAACACGATGAAGAGATCTATATTCAGCTTCGGCAGAACTTAAAGAAACAGTGTGTTGTTTCTTTGCCTTCCAGTAGATGGGACTGCCACCTAGGAGGATGAAATATCCACTGACCGAACGACGAGTGTTAGGACATGAGGCCCAACCAGAGTCACAATATGCTTCCATAGAAAAATCAGGAGAAGCATTGAAATATAATCCTTAGGAAGGAGCTGAATTCAAATAATGAAGGGTGTGTTGAGCAGCCTCCCAATGAGGGAGTCTAGGGTCCTGCATAAATTGACTCAAGAATTGAACTGCAAAGGCAATGTCAGGGCGAGTGTGAGTAAGAAAGTTAAGTTTCCCAACCAAACACCTATACAGAGTAGGATCTGGAAGGGGAGACCCAGTGCTGAGTTTGAGTTGCAAGTTGGCTTCCAAGGGGCAGACAGCAAAAGCAGAAGGAGGGCACTGAAAGGCCTTAAGAAGATCCAGGGTAAACTTGCGTTGAGTCAATATAAGCCCTTTACTATCATAGATGGCTTCCAAACCCAAGAAGTAACAGAGAGTCCCTAGGTCTTTGATTTTAAACAAGGGATTAAGGTGAGTCTTCAGGTTTGTAATTTCTTCAAGATGGTTGCCTGTGATGAGTATATCATCCACGTAGACAACTAGATAAACCACAGAAGAATCAATATGTTTGATAAAGAGAGAGTAATCGTTCTTGGAAGAAGTGTAGCCTTTAGACTTGAGTGTGGTCTTTAACTTGGCATACCACTGTCTTGAGGCCTGCTTCAGACTATATAAAGACTTGCGAAGCTTGAGGACTTAAGTAGGATGAGAAAGCTGCAAACCAGGGGGTGGTTTCATGTATATGTGCTCATCTAGAATACCATGCAAGAAGGCGTTGTTAACGTCCAGTTGAAACATGGTCCACTGGTGTTTGACTGCAACAGAGATAAGGGCCCTAACAGTGGTCATTTTGACCACAGGTGAAAAGGTTTCATGGTAGTCTATGCCTTCTTTCTGAGTGCAACCACGAATGACCAATCGAGCTTTGCGCCTTTCTAAAGTCCCATCTGATTTGAATTTAAGCTTGTAAACCCATTTGCAACTGATAGGCTTCTTGCCTTTAGGTAAATCACAGACTTCCCATGTTCATGTGTCCTCCAATGCTTTGAATTCCAAATTCATAGCTTCTTGCCAAGCTGGATCACTCTTTGCCTCCTCATAATTCTTTGGTTCCTGCATACATGAAACAATGTGCAGAAACTGTTGACTAGCCTTGGTTAGGGCTCCTAAGCATATGTGGGTTTTGGTAGGGACAGAGGTAAGGGTATGGGGACATGTACTGGATATGGAAGCAAAAGAACATGAGTCTTGGAGAAAGGAGTTGCAGACATAATCTTGTAAATGACCAGGAGCTTTGTGGGTTCTGATGGATCTTCTTAAAGATGAAGAGGAAGATGCATGATTATTAGGGATCTCATTAGATATGGAAGGAGAGTCATTTAAAGGAAAAGAATGGGACATTGGGAGGTCTGGAATAGAAGTTGAAATTCCAGAGGAAGAAGGGATTGGACAAGAGGCTGAAGTAAAATCCTGCAGAGGTTGAGTGTAATCCTGATGAGAAGGGAAAAGAGGATCTGATGGAAGTGTTGT